TTGTTTGCGAAGCATTGCTGGTGTCGGATGGCACCAGCGTGTCCGCAACGATGATGTGCGTAGGCGAGTACTAGGTGGTGATGATCATGCTAGCTCCCTAGAACGACAGATAGCACTGAATAAGTTACGTTGGCTCGGGCACGTGCTACGCATGCCTGGTCACCGCTTACCTAGGAGGGCCTTGTTCAGTCTACCAGGTGTCGGATGGCGCAAGGCTCGAGGTGGACAGAAGTTGACTTGGCAGCGGGAAATGAAGTCACTGACGACCAAACTGGGTGCCGTTGGTCCGTCTCGCCTTCCGGGTTGGAGTCCACGTGACTCGGCTTGTGCTTGGCTCGAGACTTTACAGGACATGGCTCTCAACCGACACTAGTGGCGCGTCTGCTGCCGTCTCCCAATCAGATTGCCTGTTTAAAGTGTGTTTCGTGCTGAGTTATCTGCGGGGTAATGGCTGATTATGACGCGTGGCAGTGAAAGCCGCAAGGAAGCTGTCTCGCCGATGCCGCCTTATCTTTGCATGATAGCCGGCTGTATGCGACGGTATGTTGTTAACACAAGGTGTAGACGCCTTGACCCTGAATGTTTGCTTAGGGCTTCAAGATTTTCAGGTAAATCCCTCCTCTCTCTCTTGTACTTTATTTCGTTTGTCCTCATGATTGTGTGGCAGCGAAGCATCAGTTCAAACGGCTGATGTACTGTTGTTGTGTTTTTCGCCATGCAACATATCAAGAGGAATCTTTAGTCACTAATGCAGTGATTCCCAGCCTGCGGGTTTTTGCTCTATAGGGATGAAAGGGGATTTTGCGAGGAGCAAAGATGAGGTTATCATTCAGTCCGAAACCAAAACTACTGACGAAATCAGGTCATTTAACCAACTGACTAATCGCTGGGGATTAGTCGTTAGTTGCAAATCTTTAGTTTTTGTTTAGCAAATTAGAACATTTCAGATTATAAATGATATTGCCTAAAATACGAATATAAGCCTGCAACACAGCGCCGATAGATGGCGCGTCTATCGGCTGGCTCGTCGATCGTTGTTCGGTGGAATCAGGCGGTCGTACGCGGCCTTTTAACCAGTTCCTGCATGTGAGACCGGTATCGCCGATTTCGTTAACTTCTGAACATATTATGGTTTGTATGGACTTGAAGCAAGATGGATTTAGTTAATTAATTGCATACCTTCTAATATCCATAATCATGCGTTTAGGTAACAGTTTTACGAACGCGTCACCTAGGTTGCAGCCACCTGAATCAATTTGCGTACAAAGGAAAATGTGACAGAAGTGCGAGAAATTATTTACTAACTAAATTGTAATATGATTACTGTGTCTATTATACACGAAGCATAACATGCAATAGCTAATGGTTAATTTGTCTTTACCTAATTTTCTGGGAGTGGTTGTTTACATTTACTCCGCTTTTGGAGGTAGTAGCCTCAAAAGGGTTTTGAACCATCGGTGTAATGTAACCAAATCATTGGAAATAGTAGTATACCTGCTGGACCATATTTTTGACCATTTTCATAATTTATTTTATTCCATGTTCTCGGCTGAGGATTATGAGACCTTATCCAATTTGGAGCAGCTTTGGCAAAGAATTCACACTTAGTTCGTTGCAAATGAGCATCTGGACCACCTGACCTGATGAAAACAATAGTTCGAGGGGTGGTTTTCATTACCAATCGCTAGCTGGTGGGTCTCCGCATAGATTGCGCTTCAGTGATCCCGTAGATTGCAACCGTTGCTTTACGACCAACATTGTCTGTTACTGATGTATACAGTAACAATGGTCACAATGCTGTTTCGCATGCCAACACCATCCTCATCATCATCATTATCAATACACGAATGCTGAGGGCGCGAAACACACCCTAGCTAATGTGCCGCAATACAAAATGGCTATATAACAAACATTAGGGAATACAAAACTAAAAATGCAACACATACCAACTATCGTGTTACGCATTGGGTATGACATCTTGGTTGGAGGGCGTAACTGAAGAGGAGAGGAGAGATAAAAAAACTCGTAACACAAATGCCATTGAAATCGCCTCTTCGTCATGTCAGCTAGTATATCCAGCGAAACATGTTCATTCTCCTTCGGACCCCAGCCCGGCAGTCGTGAAGCACCAACGGACGCCAAGTTCGAAGTGATGGCCTTCATTCCTCTTGACCAAGTTTTCGCTTGGCTTCCCTTTCGCTTCCTCCATCCACAATCCCGGCGCACAAACAACACATGACCTAGCCCCTGGGGCCTAGTGCGTGATATAACGCTGCCGAGCGGTTCACTCGCTCTTCCTGCACCAAATACGCGGTACCGTACACGCTCATTGGTCATGCGGTACTTCCACCAGACATGAGCTAAGCTTCGAAGGCAGCGGTGGTCGAACCTAGCTAGCCTGTTTATGTCTTTGATCTAGTGGGCCAGATTTCGCAACTCTCCATTAGGGTTGGGCGGTCAGTTGCATTGTAAACTTTGCCCTTCAGAGCGAGTGTGATGTCACGCGGGCCTCACAGATTTTGAAGATTGGCAAAATCACCCCGAGCTTTCGCTTTTACGGTTCGTGATCTCATCTTCATTCCCACGAGCGCTACTATAGCTGCCGAGGTACTTATATTTTTGAATGTCTTCTAACTACTCACCGCCAAGGGTCAGCGCAGTAGTGGGTCCCTGTCGATCTTGGAGAGACTTTTCACTTCGATGGTGCAAAGTATAGCCCGAAACGACCAACAGCCAAAGCTAATCTGTTTAGTGCTGCTTGGCACGTTTAGGAGCTGTCACAGATAAGGGCAATTTTGTCGGCGTATTCTAAGTCACAAGGTCGCTCACCGAGTGGGAGCTCCACGCGTTGTAGGTCGTGTCCAGCAAAACGCCATCTCCATGACTTCAACCATAGCGAAGTTAAAGAGAAGTGGTGACAGCGGACACTGCTGGTGAGCGTCGGTAATTTACCACAATCCATCACTCCGCCTAAATTATGCGCATACAGCACTCTGATCATGTTTACGCATCAGACAATGGTGTCCTAAAGGGCACGTCTATCCACCGAATCGAAGTCGCCTTTGATGTTTGAGAAACACGACTGCCAGCAAGCTAGTTACTTCTTTCATTCGTGTGAAATCCGGGTCCCATAATAACCTGCGGATGTATCTACCTGGATTAGGGAGCTGATCGATCACCTTAAATGGCCTTTTCTTGGTGACAATACCCTGTGGCTTACCATCCCTGTCTCACTTCAGTGCCCCGCGCTTCGAGGTTACGAAGCTCATGTCGTATCATAAGGTTTTCTGTGTCAATCTGTTCAGTTGGGTTAGCCGTCTCAGAGTACCGAACACTTACCCCTTGTCAATTGGGACGTGTAACCTTATGAAGTAACAGCAACCTACTTCACAGCCGCCAAAGAGATATAATCTGTGGTCCAAAGAAATACTAAACATAAAATATATCCACGTCTCGAAATATGCTGTATTGCGCAGCGTCGCTATCCTGAAGATCGTAACTGTGGGGCCAACCACTATCTTCTGCACAGTTCGTAACTGGTATGACAGCGGAGTATTAACCGTACTATACCTTAGTCCACTATCAGCCATGCAGTCCTACCGCCGTCATCCACGGCTTAGTGGCGTAAACTGCTGGCATTCAGAAGTCGTGAGATCGGGATCTAACAGGAGTCCAAGGAATATGTGCACCACTTACAAGACCCAAAAGGTTGGAAACGGCCGTTTGGGGCTTTTCCAGACTTGTGAAAGCCTGTCTGACTGATTGGTGACTGTGCTGCACTATATCCAAAGCTAAATATCCGCCCGTTGTGTATACGTCTGTGTTGATGGTCGACAACCCAATGTATTTGTGATAATTACTAAGATTGCTTCAATGTAACTAAGTTTTATATAGCAGCACAATCCTGATCCCTCGGTGGAAATCTTGCCGGTGAACTGTGACAAGCATGTAGTTTCCGATCGTGGAAGCTAGAGTCCGAAGTAGCCAGATCGCAGCTAGTGTGTTGCTTTGCATTAAGTCCATTTCGGCACATGCTTCTCCACACGAGAAGCCGTTGCACCAAGTATTTGACTGTGCTTCCACAATGTGAGCTGACTTGAGTTGACCGGGATCCGTTCATTGGCGGTACCACATGCTCAAGTTCAATCAACGATGGCTGTTTTGGTACAACGCTATTCTGCACAACAGAGATCACATTCTAGTCATTACTAAAATGTTGCGCGATGTGCGCAAACTGTCATTCAACCGCGTTTCTCGACAGCTCTCCGTTGGTCGCCTTGTTCTATGAGTATAGCTGTTCTGAACATTAAGGAATACAGACATCGTAGTGGAGCCGATACACGAGCACTACTTCATCTTCCAATCCGATCTAGTGCACTTGTGTATGTGATGTATACTAGGCTTAATTTTACTCGTCTCCCCTCCACTCATCAACTGGTGGTCGAAAGAATAAGATATCTGCTCACTAATCTGAAGGTCAACGATCCTGCCTCACAGTTTACCCAGTCCACACGCGACTAATCGTGATCGCTTGGCAGTGAAGTGTCGTCACAGCGTATTGACGTATTACCGATGCCTTTCTTCTAGAGTCGACTATCGCGTCGTCTCTTTTACACGACGCTCGGCACCTGATTCCGTCGATTTCATGCGGGCAGGTACCGCTTGAACTGAGAAAACCTGTCAAGAAAATTAGCTAATACTGGTGCCTTACCGGAGGATGATCGTATCCCGTTGCAAAATTCTTTGCGTCCAGACGGGTGGCCGATTGGTCTAGTCACAGAGCTTGTAATCCTCTGGTTACCGCTTCGAAACTGCATATATGTATGCAGGCTTTCCGTACCCATTGCCTGCACACGATTGTTGGTAGCTGCGTCGATACGATACGCTGGCGCACTTCCGACACTTTTTTCTTTTTACTTTATTATATACCTATCGTCCGTGCTCACTAACTGCCTTGTCTTGACGTGGGTCTCACACTCATCGTTGCTCGTTTTTTTCAGGTTGCATCATCAGTGTGATGCAAGCGGTCTTCTCGGCTGTGTTCTACTTCGCTTCTGTCCCTCTCTTCCCTGGATTCTTGCTCGTCGGTTATGCGACCGTTTTCACTATGTTCCCTGTGTTCTCGCTGGTTCTGGACAAAGATGTTCCCGATCGCATCGCTCTCACTTTTCCTGAATTGTACAAGACGCTACTCAAAGGTCGTGAGATCACTTTCAAAAGTTTCTTTGTGTGGCTCCTCATCAGCGTCTATCAAGGTAAGTCTTTTGTCCCCTCAGTCCTTGCCCATTCATCCACCAGCCCTCTCGCGTACGTCCCATCTGTGATGGAGAAGCGCTCAACTGGAACGCGTTCCCACAGCCCGGCATCATACGCACATGCTGGATCAAGGGGACACCATGCCCATCGAAGATTGTATTCCTTTGCGTGACACATCTGTCGCAATGACGGAATATCGAGTACCTCATCATTATCATCATCGTCGCCTCCTTCTTCATCACCAGCACTGCTGCTATTATAGCGACGTGCCACAGTTCAAGCCAAGCATATCGTGAGACACCTACTGAACGAACAGCGATGTTATGTAAAACAGTTAGGGTATACTGCTGTAACTGTGACCCTTAAATAAGAAACGCGATAGAGCTCACGACTATATTGCTAAAATAGAATCGCGTAACCGTAAGGTTCTCGGTAGACTGATTATGGCGCGACTGTTTCACGGTGAAATATTTGTGCGCCAACTTGCAAAATTAGTAACTTATTATTTAAGAATATAACCGTCAAGGGCACACAAAGCAACTTATCGGCTGAAAAAGGTTGAATCGAATATAAGTAGCTGTGATCAACCTTCGAAGGGAAATGGACATTTCTTACAGACATTACATTAGCTACCATCACCGTCTTCACCATTATTCTCGAGAGCAACATCATTAACGGTACATCAGTACCGCATATTACCGAATATCAGCTCGTCCATAGATAAGTCCACTGTGTAACTTTACAACATAAAATATGTCCAAAGCTAAAAGTCCCTGTATTAGCCGACCTCTAAGAATCAGCAAAAGAGAAAGGGAGTTGACGTCTTGGAAAATACTTTGAACTGATTGAAAACTCATGATTTCAGGTAGATTTGGAAACAACCGGTTGAAATAGTTTGTGGGCAACATTTCGCTTTTGACACAAAATGCTTCTTGTGGCCGAGGTCAAGGATTGGTATAGCACTTATAGCGAACTGGGATGATAATCGCGACGAATGGGATGTAGGCAGAAGGTCAGTCGTGTTACAGCTCAACGCATCACTCCAACTAGTGCAGGGAACGGTCACAAGTGGTCCGCGTTACATGGTCCTACACGGAAGCCCTGTTAACGATGGGTGCGGGGATGATGTGATGTTTATTCTCTGCCCTGGATCCGTCCGCCGGCGCTCCTCAGACTGATCGGGTTAACACAGCTCTCCCCACACTCGAAAGCTCTGCCCGTTCATTCTGACCACACAGATGTTCACCTTGCTAATCTCAACCGCCTCAGCAGTCAGCCTTTGGAAGTTGATCGCAACCCCTTTCTAACGGTTTCGACGTTATCCAAGTCGATCTTATCACCTGTATCTGTCGCGTGCATCACTACTGCCGAGCTCCTTAGTAAAGCCATATATTCAAGCTCGTTTCTCGGTGGCCGTGTTATGCGTCTCTTGTGTTCTGCTATTCTTGTGCGTAGCTCTCTCGCGGTTTGGCCGATGTACACGTGTGCGCAGTCTTTGCAACTAATTTTGTAGACGCAATTGGTTGTCCTATCTGCGGGAAGTGGGTCTTTCAAGTGCACTAGTGTAGAGCGGAGCGTTTGGCCTTTCTGGAAAAGTACCCTTATGTTTCTTATTTAAGACTCTCCGCATGTCCTCCGAAGTTCCATCTTTATAAGGAATACCTACCGTCTCAATCCACTCGGTGGTACGCCGTAGGTGAGGATTTAAAATTCGCTCTAACTGGCGTTTCACTAACCGCCTCGGGTATCCACTACTGAGCAATTGGTTCATTACTTCTTTCCGGGCGGCCTCCTTCTGTGAACTGGGTCTGGGCTCTGTGAAACAAAGATGAGGTGATTCCAGCATACACATGCTTGGATGACTTGAACTATAACAGAGTACACCATCTGTGTCCGTCGGCTTACGAAATATCGTTTCTCCACGCTCTTGACGTCACTACTACCTGCTCTCACTTGAGTGAGTTCAAATGAAACATGCTCTACTACTGGTCAGTTGTGGTGACCGTAATGTTTTATGATCGCGGTTGATGGGGGGGAGTAAAGTCATCCGAACCTACTTTCACCGCACCGGACAGTGTATCGATCAGACGTCAAGTCACATGACACAGATAAGACAGCTGACAATATAGGGTAAGGTAGGAGGGTGTGTCAGTCTCGCACAGTCGGGGTTCTCATTCAAGTTAACCACAGTAGATCATTGGGTGAGAGCGAAATTCACGATCAGGGATGTGGGACAACGTTGCATTTTTAAGGCACCGGATCGTCTGGCACAACGTTATGTTTAATGGCTTTTGTTTCGCTACGGCCATCCGTCGCGAACGTCAAATCTGCAATATACCGAGAATTTTCGACACAAAGTAACATGAATGGAAAAAACCCATTGATTGATCAGAAGTCTTTTGTAAGCGAACATATTTTTTCGGTAATTCTTCATCAGGCTTTTGCAGTTACATGAAATGCAAAATTTCTGTATACAGACCCAACGGGTCGTCAGTCAACCAAATTGATCCTAGTGCACTGTGGCACGCCGTCGGTTAGGTTACAGTTGTAGTCGTACGTGCCTACAGGTCAACTGAAGTCCGTCCTGGCCAAGGTAGGCTCAACGCGTGAGTGAACCTTTTCTGCGTGCACAGCACTGGGTCATAAAACCGAATGCCGATGGCTTCTGCGGTGTCTAAAATCCGCTTACGGAAATACATCGATCAATTTTCTGGGGTCTGATAGATTACTTTGAACGAGTCAGCCGACTTGGTGGCGTGACCCGTATTCGCAAGATGCGTGGCGATGGCAGAGTTGGTAACCTTTTGGCCTCCATTTCCGAGCCAGGCCGGATGGTGTTCCTTCACCCTTTCGGATAAGCGTCTTGTCGTACGACCAACGTAGCCTGCTCCACAGGAACAGGTAAAGGAGTATACACACATTGAATTGGTGTGGACAGGCAGCTTATCCTTGAGGTTTAGTCGCACCATTGGGCTGCTGGTGAACCGGATTTGCAACCTCGCCGCTGGGAAGGTATTCCTGAGTGTGGACGAGAGACGGCGGGATAGATTCTCGGATACTATTTCCTTTTTGTAAGGCAGTTGTAGGAAAATAGGTTTCCGTTCCGTCGTCAGGACCATAGGTGCCCCCCTGTTTCGCCCCATATTCGCATTAATAAAATTCCCTGGGTAGCCATTCTCTTAAGCGTCGATCGTATTAGCTGCAACTCTTTGAAAAGCGTATCTTTCTAGCAGATTCTTGCGGCCCGGTTCACGAGACTGAGGACCAAGTTTCTCTTAATCCGAAGCGGCACAAAGCTATGAAAGTTTGTGTATGTGTCCAATTATAGGAATACCGTCCGTCACTAGCGGGTGGTGCTAAGATAAGGGCGGTGAATTACTGAGTGTATTTTGCATGACTTTTTTTCAAATTCCGTATAGCTTTTTTATAAGCCGACCTCCCTTCTACCGAAGCGAAAAATTGTCAAAAAATCATCGGCTAATGTTCGGTAGTATACGGTACTTTCTGCCTATGCATCGCCGCCATATATACACATTTTCTTCCATACTGAAGATTAATTTGAAGAGCAACTTGGACCCAAGATAATACACAGATGCCTTTAGCAAATACTCATGGGTCTGCACAATCATAAAAGCTGCAACTTAGCAACGTTTCGACGAGGCGACTGCACGCAACACTTCAAAAATGACGAATACTTTTTGGAGTATTCATCGTTACTGGTCAACTTCTAAGCATATTCATTAACCAATATTTTATCCACTACCAACTCATTCCTTAAGCTTAATAAAAATCATCGACCGAACCGTCATCATCAATAGCAGTACATCCAGCCACGTGAGCTGATTCTTCGCTGCCGTACAACCATTGTGACCTACGGAACGAAGAACAATAAGAGGGTGAGAAGGGGGACTTACCTGAAAACCTTAATGCCCTAAACGAACACTCGGGGTCAAGGCGCCTACACCTTGTGTAGACAACATACCGTCACAAACAGCTGACTATCGTGCAAAGATAAGGCGGCGTCGAGGAGACAGCTTCTTGCGGCTTTCACTGCCCCGCGTCATAATCAGCCATTACCCCGCAGATAACTCAGCACCAACCACACATTAAACAGGCAATCCGATTAGGAAACGGTAGCAGACGCGCCACTGGTGTCTACTGCGAGCCATGTCCTGTAAAGTCTCGAGCCCAGCACAAGGCGAGTCACGTGGACTCCAGCCCGGAAGACGAGACGGACCAACGGCACCCAGTTTGGTCGTCAGTGACTTCATTTCCCGCTGCCAAGTCAACTTCTGTCCACCTCGAGCCTTGCGCCACCCTACATCTTGCAAACAAACAAGGCCTTCTGGGGTAAGCGGTGACCTGGTACATGTAGCACGTGCCCAAGCCAACACAACTTATTAAGTGCTGTATGCTGTTCTAAGGAACTGCCAAGTACTCGCCTACGCACCTCATCGTTGTCGCTGGTGCCACTTGACCAGCAATGCTACGAAAGCAGCGATGATCAAAGATTTGAAGGCACTTTCTATCCTCAGACCGAAGGTGTTAAGCGCTATTCCAGTAGAGTAGAGCACTTCTCTCTGCAGCTTTGTAAACACGGCGTTTCAGACCTTCTGACGCCACAGGTGTCAATGATTCAAAAAGACAGTTCTGGCTTTTGCAATACGTGAACTGACTTCAGTGCTTGTGCGCTAGCCGTTGCTGATACAGCTACAATGTAACTGAATTGATCAAGTGCTTCGAGTTTCTCGCTATCAGTGATCAGACGGTCATCAAGTGTCTAGTGGTCCTGAAACAAAGCCTTGCACTTTGTACGGGCGAAGCGCATGCCAATTGATGGGACCACTCTGGAGAGATTATTTAGGGTCGAACGGGCTGCCCAGACCTCGTTAAACAGCAAGTGGATATCGTCCGCATAATCACCATCAGCTTGCTTTTCTGCAGATAGCGGCTCGACGCTTAATCGCTTGCATCTGTGGCTTTGTCCCAATGTTTTTCGGAGCAATGTAATACGCGTTCAGTTCAATGACAGGTTTGAGGGAGCAGATACCGGGATCCGAGACAGAATGCTTCTGCCCATTGATTTATACGGATTCGGCTTTCATGTGTCACCACATCTAAACGTAAGGTGCCAAGCCCTCTAATCAAGGCCTAGCTGTTGCTTACCATTTCCCTGATTAATGGTGTTTGAAACCATGTTTGTCATGGCGCTCGACCATTCGATTTTTTTAACTCTTGCTCTCAGCATTCCATCCGACTATTCTATCGTATTTACTTTCCTTTTAGTTATTGTTAGGCTCCGACGTGGATCTTATCTTGCGTTTCCCTACTTTTCTCACTGCTTTTTTGTCTTTACACTTCGATACTCGGCCCATTGCTGAACTGTTGAGCTAGCTAAATACCTGTACTTCCAATCAAGATGTGTAACGTGGTTCTTAAAGCGTATACGCCTCAAATATTCCATTCTTTCAACAGTAGAATGCGTCAGTTATGGCGATTCTACTCCATTTACATCCTCGCGAAATGTTTGAGAATGTCAGAGTTGAACGGTACGAAGTGACCCCAGCCTTTTCTTTATGCGGTGTTGTCCATAAACCACGATCCAATGTAACTGCTAAGTATTCCGCTTGCATAAGTAGATGTTGAATATGAATTTTGCCTCACTCTTACGTGTTGCTATTAACGACCCCATTTGGATTTGACCCAGTTTGGCTTCGGCTAATGAAGCTGAACCTATGTTTTCTTTATAGAATCATAAATTGTCCAATTTGCAGTCTTGAAAACGGTGTTCACATATCTTTAAACAGCAAATATCCAATAGAGAAGAGTAGTAGGGGGAGTTGAATGGTATAGGTAGAAATTCGTCACATCTAGATTCACTCAGACAGCCGCCACACGCCCGGAAATGCACTGTACGCGCGTTTCATCTTTTCGGGAATCGTCAGCAATGCGCATTCCATCGGACCCTTGGTAGGGCTCGAACCCGCAACTCGACTGTTGCCAGTCCGTAGTTGAGACCACTGAGCTACGGGGGACTGCAACCAGCATCGTGAATAAGTTACTAGATGTGATATAGCGCCGCTCACTATCCACTGACTTACACGTTACTGCCATGCAGAAGATAGGGTAGCCCCCTCACCAAGCGACGAGCTTACCAAACTTAAGCCGCCAATTAACTTATTGCATTATAAGCAGTTTGGTCTGCGTACTGATTAGAGAAGAGTAGTAGGGGGAGTTGAATGGTATAGGTAGAAATTCATCACATCTAGACTCACTCAGACAGCCGCCACACGCCCGGAAAAGCACTGTACGCGCGTTTCATCCTTTTGGGAATCATCAGCAGTGCGCATTCCATCGGACCCTTGGTAGGGCTCGAACCCGCAACTCGACTGTTGCCAGTCCGTGGTTGAGACCACTGAGCTACGGGGGACTGCAACCAGCATCGTGAATAATTTACTAGATGTGATTTAGCGCCGCTCACTATCCACTGATTTACACGTTACTGCCGTGCAGAGGTCAAGAGCGTGATTCCAAAATTTACTACGAGAATCAGAGAACGTTTCTTTCTAACCCAATACTCAAAGATTTGGAAAAAACTTCCAAGTGATATCAAAAAATGCGATACACTATGCAATTTTAGACGCTATTAGTAAGCATTTAACCGTCCAAAACCTGATTAATATGTTCGGGACATCACAGTCCCTAGATAACGCATTCGAAAACGGTATCGATTGTGCCTGAATAAATTTTCGAAACACATACACATAACATTTCGGACAACAGCCGCTTTCATTTCATTTTTTTCTCGGCCCAAACATCTGTCATGTGATTGTGAAGAATCCTGGTTCAATGGCAGGAAAAAATAGCAGAACGATTCTGATTACTCTGTGTTACCTAATTTGCAATTGCGCTCATGTTTATTTCTGAAAATGTATTAATGCAATGTCATGGAAAGGTTGTACCATTATTTGATCTATTCCTTTTAGGGAACATCTTCTCGCATTGTCGAGGAATATACAATTTAGTTATTTAATCTGTGCGCAGCCGAGCATTCTAGCGTTAGAATTTATTCAGCTTTGAGGAACGGAATCCCTGCTAACTTCTTTTCTGTATTTTTGCTTGATATCTTTGAACGGGACTGTCTAGCTTGAAAATTCCGCCGGATGACAGAATGGTTGAATTTTGGACACTTCGCTTCTCTTATCTCTTGGCTTCGAACCAAACCTCCGTACAAACCTTCCATATAAGTCTACGTAAACGCTACACACTTGTATGCACTTCACATCTATGGAGCACAAGGCACTGTTGCACTAGCCATCTCTGAATAGCCACTCGAAGTGTTTAATCAGCTCATTTGTCCGAGTGGTTGTGTCAAATCAGATGCTCACGTCATTGCACTCGTCAACAAACCTTGTGTGGTCTCTAAACGCCCAACCATCTATAGGGATAGCGTTATACTAACTCTCTGGTCAAGGTCAAGATACACAACCCTGTGGCTCGGCGGGAGTTACTGCATGGATCCGAAACGCGGATCGGAGGTTAAGTTTCTAACGATGCGCATGTGGCTACAAAGGTCAGAACCAATGCTACGATTGTGTAACATTTTGGACTCCCGAACAACACTTCACTTAGTCCACAGTGTGTGTTTAAGTATTTGAGTCGCGTTCCAGTCTGTCGCTTGAGCTAGTCGACCATCTTGCAGATAGATGGCTACACTTAGTACTGAATACCTAGTCGGTTGAACATCAGCCGTACCCCGCGCTTGTTAACATACTCGGATCGGTTCATCATTAAATGCTGGTGAATGTTAGCTTCACTCTCCGAGTATTTGTAATCCATGGAGAATCCTGCGACAACACCACAACCTCAGCAGCATTGCGTAACTGTAGTATTTTTTCCATCGCACATCATTGGAAGGTATAGCGCTCGTTTGACAAGTATATATATTTGCAAAAGTCTACGAATAGACATAATGCCATCAGAAATCATGGGATTCAAACGAAGGTACAGAAATAGTAAAATAAAATACAACACAACAATGTCCATGGTTTCCTCAGAAGGCGAGATACTACCCGGTTGCCCAAGCCGAAGTAGGGTGTTGATTTAGGGGACACCACCCCGAGCCTTTGGCTGAATAGCCTGTCCGCAAGGCAGCGGAGCGAATTCAGGGAATCGCTGGTGGCTGATTGCTCAGTTCATACGTCTTTCGTTTGTTCCTTTGTCAAACAGGGGCCCAATGCTCCCCAGAAGTACAGTATGATGTTGCTGGAATACAATGCTTCGCCAGGATGAAGCAAGGGGCAGTGACTTTATTTAGTGGCGAGTCACGTCCGCCACGTCACAGTGTTGTTAAACGGACATATGTGGCTTTTTATAGGGAGAACGCTTGTCAGGCGAAAACCCACCACGTCCTGGAACACTGCCGCCGAACCATTTGCTGTAACGGGAAAATCCCGAACCACCCAGCTGGCACCATAAGGAGGTTGTTCGGCAAGGCAGTTATCTGGCTTCAGACTTGAGTGTCAACTTCTCTACAGTTAGTCCTTTCGACATATTTGTCGTGTAGAGGCGACACCTGCACCGATTTGGGGCATTAATGGCCTTATCTCTACTTCTCCGTATTCACTGTCCTACTCAGCTGACTTCAAACGAGCAGTGTTTGGTACTACGGGCTTTCTTGTCATTTCCCGCTTATCGTGATCAGCCAAATTTGAACTGCTATTCTGTTTCGTGTAGTTACACTCATTAGTCATACATCCTTTGTTTTTATTAATATCCCCTATGGAGGAATTTCATAGCATCAGCAACAACTTCCATTTGAATTGGTACTTCGCGGCTGTTTAACGGCATTGACTTTCAGAACGAAAAATATTAACTGGGAAAGAAAGGGACCTTATGCAAACTTTTAGGGTCAAGCTGGCGACGCCTTGTGAAACAGCTGGCTATTTTGCCTAGGCGACATTGGGAAGACCGTTTTCACTGCTTCGCGTCATTATTAGTGGTTACCCCATATAGGTGTTTACCATCAATTATCTCTTTACTACCCTCCTACATTGTATCCACATGTCTTGTACCTATCTCTCAGGCGGTGTCATCATGTATGGTGCATTGCTCCTCTTTGAGGACGAGTTCATTCACATTGTGGCAATCACCTTCACTGCGTTGCTGTTGACTGAACTCCTTATGGTTGCAATCACTGTACGGACATGGCATTTGCTCATGGTGCTCGCGGAAATCCTCAGTCTGGCGATCTACGCATTGTCTCTGGTTGTGATGAGACAGTACTTTGGTGAGTCCGCTCTTTCTGTTTAAATACTCGAAGTCGGAGGGATGAAACCGCGATTTCTCGGTTATTTTTACCCTATCAAATTCTTAATTGAATGAGTTTCTCCTGTTTACAGCTTGATGAAAAGAACTGTTCCAAAGACGTGGCTGTATTTTATCTATCCTTTTTGACTAACTGTGACTTCAGTGTCTATTCTAGACCCTTGATGAATGACTGCAGCTATCTTGCCTCATGTTTGTGGCATTCTCGTCGCCTTTTTGATTCCTGTGAACTGAGTAACCCTATCTCGACATGAAGGCACTTTATCTTCATGCAACAACTTGCATACCTATCCCATCCATTGAGCCATACTGACTGTGCTGTTGAATACTTTGTGTGGGCTATCCCATCAGGATTTGCCCATAGCCGTTTACGGGAAAACTTCTTCTCTTTGTACTCAACTTTAGGAGGAGGTATAGAATGAGGTAACATCATTTTATGTGTAAAGACTCCTTACAGATGGACTTTTCAGTCACGGGTCTTGGTTGCCAACCCCAGCCCTTTTCATTAATTAGTTTGACTTCCCGCTAATTATCCTATCCCCCATACAGCCGTAGCTTTTCATGGAACTCTAGTTCGACACTCCCCGACACTCCTCGGGGTTTTCTCAAGGCGCGCAATTTACGGTGCGTGCATGACAATCAGTAGACACATCCCGACCACACCATATATATATATATATATATATATATATATATATATATATATATATATATATATATATATATATATATATATATATATATATATATATATATATATATATATACACGTTTACATATATATAGACAAACCCATCTAAATCCAGTTTGTAACTGATTAATGTTTGACATAAGTGTGCAATTACCGATCATTTTTGTATTACTTTGCTCATGCATATGCAGACGTGTCTCGCACTGTCATGTATAAACAATTTATTTATTTATCATTCTTCATTCCCATAACCGCCAGCACCTTATGCCACTGAGCCATGGCAGACTGTAGCGGACGGTCATAATTTACATAATACATTGATGTAGCAAAGCGTTTCCACCTACCTGACTCTTCTGACACAACGAAAATCGTTTGCCAAATTGGTCTCACATGTTTCATTTGTTACATTTGTTTCACTACGTTGTAGCCGAATTTGATCCGCGAGCAGCAAATTGGCGCGGTCAATTAGGAAGCGTGACTGTGAACTGCATGAAGAGTCCAGCATTGCGCACTACGACCGGATAGGTGTAGAGACTTTTACGTTAGAACCTGAGTCCAATCTTTGGCAGGGCAGAGGTGAACTCCAGGTGCTCCGATCATCCCAATCGCCCTCACCCGCACACTCTTAGTTGGCTTACAGTGTTCGTCAAACTTTTTATTTGAACAACCTAGCTATCTTGCGCAGCATGTTCTCTGTTGTGTTAACGCGTCATCATTTGTCACCACTCTGCGCGCTACCTGGAGGTGTGCAATACCTATGTTATTGTGCTGCAATACACTGACATACATAACTAAAGGCTATACGCTAAATGCTAGCGAATACAAATTAAAACTGGTAATATTGTGCCTTGTTTCATTTAATGCACCAAGAATTGTGTCGCGGTGTATAAATGCGTTTCTCTTGCATCAGTCTAGGCATCAAATATCTCTATCATTCCAGTCGGCTTTCTATTTAATCAGTGCGTTGTGGGCTAAGTACTTTAGTACCAGTAAAGGTTTCCACAACTGCAAAGTTTATTGCGGGACAAACGAAAACCCACACACAGACAATCAACAGGTATGAGACCGGAAACGCTATTGTTGTTTGTTGGTGTAGTTAGACTTTGTGCTCAAGAGGTTAGATGTAAAATATCTTGTGATTCTTTGTTGTTCGGTGCCATATAAGATCCATAGTCACCAGTCTGACTTATTTCCTCGTCCGTGTCCGGGAAGTCGGTGTACAACCACTTCAGTCTGGTTCCTTTTCGTGCCATCGGCTGGTTGCCTTGTGTCTTCACTCCGTCTGTCACATTGTCTGCAAATCACGCCCGCTGCATGGTAGGAATCCCAAGAGAATGCTCTGCTCATTGTCTCCTATTCATCATTTAAAAACTGTAGTCTTACTGATCGCAAGCCTGCCTTGTAATTCGAAGGCGCGGGTTCGAGCTCGCGTTGGGACCGGGTGATTCTCGCAGTATCCTTAGCCTGTGTGAGACTGTTGGCGGTTACGCGGTATCGAAGCGTCGGTACTGCGTATCGGCGTACAGCTGATGCCCCTTCATAAGCGGTACTGCGCGGTCTGTCTCTGGCAGACATTTCTTTTTTGGATTCGTGCTAGGGTGAATGACTGAACCTTTATTTACGGAAGATTGACAGACCTGTCAGTTAATATTAATCACTTTTATATAGGTGAAGCACCATCGCCAAGGAAGTTCCTTCTATTTTAAGGCTGTTTGCACAGGATCTTAACAAGACCCCTTCTCCTTCACAGTTTTGAAATTGGTATATTCTCAACTAGATGAGGCACTTCGTTATAAATATCCCGAGCACCTTTCAGTATTTAAGCTTCATTGTCAACAGCAACTTCACTTTCGTCAGTTAACACTTATGTATCCGCAGTGACCAGTTGCGCGGATGATTTCCACTCCGGAATGCTCTGGTTACTTCGTTAGTCTTACAGGTGAAACTAAAATAAGTCACTACACCGCGACGAGATTAGACGTTATCGTAATGCAATGGTTTGACTGTCTCATCGATCCATTGAGATGGGCTAAATGGGGATTCTTGCTCCTTCAGCCACTCATACCAAATGGATCAATGGTTTGTGTTCAGAAAAGCGGCCTGATCTTTCAGGTTGGGAGATGCAGTAAGTGCAGCTCCTTACCAATTAGGACCGGCTCTCTCTAGCCGAGTGCCAAAATCTCGGTGTCTCGTACTCATGATTTTAAATCAAAGGCTTTGGTTGAGAACCCTAATCCTTCTGTCTATGCCTGAGTAACCTGACAGTATCCTGCCCTCGCGATACAATGACTAACTTTTCAAATGATTTATTGATGCTCTGGTCGTCGCACAGGATATTCAAGCTTGCCCTATCTGCTGTGTCGAGTAGCTTGGATAGGGGTGAAGATGCTACTATCAAAGCTTTCCTGTCTTCTTGTCCCCTGTTTGCGCTTTTTTTATGCTGGTCGTTTTCTTATAGCTTCACTTATTCCTCCGTTTTCAATCCCCACAATACTTGGCCCTCCGCCACCTTACTTTGATAGAAGCTTGTCTTCTCGTTTCGACTCACAAGCCGTCGCTCCGGCTCAGTCCACTGACTAGACCCAGAAGCTCGAAACAGCACTGCCTGGTGCTTTTCCAGACTTGCCAAAGCCTGCGGACTGAGCGGGAACCTCTGAAATGACGCAAAAATCCCCACTATCCCTTAATGATCTAAAATCCGTCCGTATAGCTTCTAAGTCCTGTACCGTACGCAGTCCTAGATCGTGGGGCCAACTACTGTCCTCTGCACTGTTCGTAACCAGCATGGCAGTAGAGGATGAGCCGGGCTGTGTTGTAGTCAGCTGTCAGTCATGCAGGTCCGCGGCTGTCGCCCATGGCTTAATGGCACAAGCTGCTGGCATTTGGAAGTCGTGGGGTCGGAACCCGGCAGGGGTCCGAGGGAGACGCATTACTGACGCTCAGAAGCTCGAAACAACGCTGTCTGGTACTATTCCAGACTTGCCAAAGCCTTCTGACCGAGAGGGGATTGCGGCGATTTACCTCTGAAATTCCATGTTCAACCAAGCAGACGATTTCAGCTCATCCATTCCTGTTTGAAGCTTGTTAGGTTGCATGGCAAGTACAATTCTAAAAACGGCTGTTTTGTGAATGCTGTAAACGTCACGTCACGTCGAGGTAACCAATTATTAGTGCCGCTTCAATCAAGACTAGTTACAAAATCAGAAGAAAGCACTGACATAAATAATAATATTGTACAGATAATAGTGATACGTGAAAGAGAGACTTATCGCATATGCTTGTATGGTGGCTCTGAGTCCAACTCAGTTTGCGGACGGTTGCGACGATGGCTGAGTCTTTCCCTGGGCACGTGAATGGAAGCGTCTGTCCTCGTTGTCCGGCCATCCAGTTGCGCGTGTTGCGTCTCGATGCGACTTAAGTATATCCGCATTGCAACTGGCTATGAGATGAAGTACATTCTCAACCGCCAGTGTTTGTGCCACGTTCTTTGATGCGCCGGCGTGGTCGAATGATGTTTTGGTGTTTTCTTGCGGATCACGAGGTATGATAATTAATCGTTGCCGTGTGTTAGGTTAAATGAAAAGTACCATTCTACAAATGACTGTTTTGAGCAGAATGTTAACGGACCTAACAGGGCTCTTCCTCCTCCCTAAAACCGGCATGCCTCAGTGTGCGCATTTTGTTGCAGTTTGATCGACAGACAGCACTTGTCCGAACACTAGAGAGCATATCAGTCGATATTTGCTGATTATCGGAAACCCGCCTACGAATTTCCAGCTTTGTGCTTACTCTGCCATACCCTACATGCGACACTAGCGGCACATTCACATTGCGCCTGTTTGGATAAAACGCAGCTTCGACTATTGGTCAGGCCGGTGTGCACATTACTCTGAGTCCCCGGGCTGAAGTTGCCCTGGTAGACTGGATCCTAATCAGCAGCAGAATGTGCGCCCTCAGAGTGGCCGGCTCGTTCAAAGCTTCGAAGTCTCACGGGAACAAACAGTGCCTGTTTGTCATTGTGGCCTACACTTCACAAATTGTAACATACTCAGTGTAAGATGAATTATATCACCAACTGAATGTGCTGCTTCATTATGAGAGAAGCACGGGTACTTTGGTGCCGGTTGGTGGTCGGTACACCCAAGTTGGAAAACTGTCCACTGATGAGCCACATCTGGGCGACCAGAACAAAGTGTTGTTCCCGTTATGATAACGGTGAGCGGCTGTTCCACCTATGTAAAAAATGCTTGTCTGTTTCCCGCGACCATTAA